AAAAAAAAAAAACAAGTCTTGTTAAAAATTAATTTATGACTACAGTCCAGACGTAAAATAAGAAAGAAAGAGATAGAGATAGATAGAGTATTATAATGAACGTTAGTTGTCCTTGAAGTAAAAATTAAGAGAATATCTTTTGCGAGATGCTTCTTATACCCAAAAGACAAGAAAAGAAAAACGTACAACAAGAAAAATCTTAAGAAGAAAAAGATTTTTACAAGGCGTCAAGGTGAAATCTTCCCACCCCATATCCCACCCACTCTTACCTCCCACTCTTACTATACACCTCTATCTTTCTTCTTTCCTTACTCTATCTCTCTCTTTCTACTTTTTTTCTCTCTTTCTACCTTTTTATTCCACTTCTCGTTCTTCTTCTCAAGGTTGAAAGGAAGGTAGGGGTTAGGGTCTTAGGTGTTAGCCTCGACCCATGAATAATTTCAACGAGATTTTTATCGTCGTTGTAAACTCTCTTCTACGAAGCCTCCCCCGTTCACTGGCCGCCACCACCACCACCACCACCACCACCACCACCATTCACCATCACCACCACCATCACTATCACCAAGAAAACGTTAGGTCTTGTAACAGAAATTTATCACGCTCGTTAAGCGTGGAAAAACTTTGGAAGGGAAGTTTTGCGACGTAATTGCTTGGTCGGCAAACGTTTTCTTGAGCTACTTTCTACCCCCTCTCCTCCCCTCTTCTCCTCCTCCTCCTCCTCCTCACTTCTCCCACCTCTTTCTCTTCTCCCCACCCACTTCTTCCCACCCCACTCTTTATCTCACTTGTTTTTTTTTGCTGTTGCTTCTGCTAGATTTTTCCAATTTAACTAAATAACATCCTTTTTCTAATATTCATGTATAAATTATTTATATTTATATATAGGAAATATTTTATTTAATAATTAATATAATAATGATTAAAATAAGTGTATAATATAACAATTGTTTGTTATATTTTATTATATGTTTATGTGTTTTTTTTTTTTTAGCCATCTGTCGGTAAAATAATTTTTATTCGAGTCAATACAATGTTTGAATAATTAATATTATTATTTTTTAATATGTAAAGTTGTTAATAATAAAATAAATTATTGGGCAATATTTTTTTTTTTAATTAAATTTTATACAGTATTGATAAATTGTTTTGTTTAGATGATAATAATAATTATAATATTATATATTAAAAAAAAGTTTGCAGTAATTTTAGTAAAATCTACTTTACCGACAGAAACGATTGTTGATTATTAAAAATATCAGTGCACGCGAATGTTTCAACTTTTTAATATAAAAAAAGCTTAGTTCGATATTAGAATTGCCATACAAAAATATGACGTAATATTATTAACATTATAGAAAGTGTACAAAAAACTCCTTTTCTCAAATAAATTTCAATAAAGTGTATTTTAATTAATCATATAAAACATAACCTATCTAATTAATCATCGAATAATTGATGTTTTATAAAACATTTGTTCGTTTATATTTTACTCTTAACATACATATTGGAAATATTTTCTACGTAAAATAACTTGAACACCGTTTATATGTTTGGTATAGATTCATATGCCATTTTTTTGTTCGTTAATACCTATGAGCTATGGCTAAATTCCGTAGAATACACAGAGCCATGTTTAATCTGTATGAACGAGTTTTATTTTTCAAAATGTCGTCGAATTCTTTTCGAAGAGCGTGACGAGGGGTTGGGGAGGGGGGGGGTTGTAGTAGAGAAGAGAGAGAAGGAAATTGTAGTTGCAAATAAAATGACATGAAATATTCGATGTTACACTTTTACCCATATGACGTTTCGGTGTTCATGGTGTTATCACAATTTTATTTGTAATATACATTCAAATTTGATTATATTGATTTATAGACATATAAGATAAATATATATATATTATAAATAAACAAAATAAAATCATATATATATATATATTTATTTATTTT